CCAATTCTGGGGTGTGTCACCCAAGAACCGCCCTCTCACAATTCAGTACCCCTTGGGGGATGTCAGAGAGCTGATTTCAGCCAGATCCCTGTAGGTTAGGCTGAGGGACCCCACAGGTGCATGAGTCCATGCACCGGGCCTCTAATGTTGAATAAGAATGGTGAAAGCAAACATCCCTCTCTTGTTCTTAGGGGAAATAGTTTTATTTTTTGCCCATTGAGTATGATAATTGGCTGTAGGTTTATCATATATGGCCTTTATCATGTTGAGATATGCTCCCTCTATTTTCACTTTGCTGTGAGTTTTTATAAAAAATGGGTGTTGGCCCTGACCGGTTTGGCTCATTGGATAGAGCATTGGCCTGAGGATACAAAGGTCCCAGGTTCGATTCCGGTCAAGGGCATGTACCTTGGTTGCGGGCACATTCCCAGTGGGGCGTGTGCAGGAGGCAGCTGGTCGATGTTTCTCTCTCATCGATGTTTCTAACTCTTTATCCCTCTCCCTTCTTCTCTGTAAAAAAATCAATAAAATATATTTTTAAAAAAATGGGTGTTGGATTTTGTCAAATGTTTTATTCTGTCTATTGGTACGATTATGTGATTTTTGTCTTTCAATTTGTTTATATGATGTATTGTGTTTATTTATTTGTGAGTATTGTACCAGCCTTGCATCCCTGAAATGAATCCCACTTGGTCACAGTGTATGATCTTTTTAATATATTGTTGGATCCTATTTGCTAATATTTTGTTGAGGATTTTAGCATCAATGTTCATCAGAGTTATTGACCTGTAATTCTCTTTCTTTGTAGCAACTTTATCTGGTTTTGGAATTAGGATAATGCTGGCCTCATAATAAGAGCTTGAAAGTGTTCCTTCCTCTTGGATTTTTTGAAATAGTTTAAAAAGTATAGGTGTTTGTTCTTCTTTGAATGTTTGGTAAAACTCCCCCTGTGCAGCCATCTGGACCCAGGCATTTGTTTGCTGGGAGTTTTTTTATTACTGCTTGTATTTCATCAGTTGTTATTTGCCTATTAAGGTTTTCTAATTCTTGCTGATTCAGTTTTGGGAGATTATATTTTTCTAAGAATTTGTACATTTCTTCCACATTGTTCAGCTTGTTGGCATATAGTTGTTCATAGTATTTTCTTACAATCCTTTGTATTTTTTGTGGTGTCAGTGGTTATTTCTCCACTTTTGTTTCTGATTTTATTTACTTGGTTCCTCTCTCTTTGTTTCTTGATGAGTCTGACTAATGCTTCATCAGTCTTGTTTATCCTTTCAAAGTACTAGCTCTTGGTTTCATTGATTTTTGGTATTGCTTTTTTAGTCTCTATATCATTTATTTCTTCTCTAATCTTTATTATTTCCTTCCTTCTACTTACTCTGGGCTTTTCTTGTTCTCTTTTTAGTTATTTAAGTTGTATGGTTAAATAGCTTATTGTTATTTTTTCTGTTTTTCTTTTTTCTTTCTTTCTTTTTTTTTTTAGGTTGGCCTGTAGTGCTATGAACTTCCCTCTCAGGACAGCTTTGACTTTGTTCCAGAGATTTGGGGTTGTTGCGTGTTCATTTTCCTTTTTTTTCCAGGAAAATTTGATTTATTTCTTGATCTTGTTGGTAACCCTTTGTTGTTTAATAACATGCTATTTAGCCTCCATGTATTTGAATGTTTTGGGTGTTTTTATTGTAGTTGATTTCTAATTTCATTCCAGTGTGATCTGAAAAGATGCTTGATATGATTTGATTTGGGGCAAAATGTTCTATAAATGTCAATTAAATCCATCTGACCCAGTGTGTCCTTTAGCGTCACTGTTTCTTTGTTAACTTTTTGTCTGGGAGATCTATCCAGTGAAGTCAGCAAGGTGTTAAAGTCCCCTACTATGACTGTATTGTTGTTAATCTCTCCCTTATGGTCCTCTAGAAGTATATATATATTTGGGTGCTCTTATACTAGCTGCATATATGTTTAGCAGGGTTACATCTTCTTGTTGGATCAATCTCTTTAATATTATGTAGTGACCTTTGTTGTCTCTTGTGATGGTCTTCACTTTGAAGTCTATTTTGTCAGTTATGGGTATTGCTACTCCAGGTGTTTTTGTTTTGTTTTTTTCTTTTCCATTTGCATGGAAATTTTTTTCTGCGGGAAGCTAATTCCAGCATGTCAGCATGGCTGAATCATCTGGAGATGGCTGAGGCCATTTCTCCAAACCTGAAAAGGATGCATAAAATGATTGCTTGCTGCCAGACAGCTCAGGGCATTTCAATCTACATGTTATTGCCTCCTACTGGCCAAACACCTGAACAGCCGTACGCAGTTTTTCCCCCAATCTGACAATGGATTCTGTATACCAAACCTTACCCTTTGATGTGTATATCTACCTTGCCTTAGGACAATTTGTGTTAATAAATAGCAAGAGTTCCTGAGGCAAAAGAGAACTTGGTTTCTTTAGCCAAGCTCCTCACGCCCTCCAAATGCCTTTCAAAATTATGTTTCGTCTCTGGACTCTTATTTAATTTACACACAGCACTTCTCCAGATTCCTGAACCCTTCTATGCTAGATTAAGACCACCAGCATTTTTCCATCTCTTCACTCTCATCCCGTGTGTATCTTTTGTTCTGAGGTGGGTCTCTTGCAGACAGCATATAGTTGGGTTATGTTTTTGTATACATTCAGCTACCCTATGTCTTTGATTGGAGCATTTAATCCATTTACATTTAAGGTTAGTTTTCATAGGTACTCATTTATTGACATTTTAATTCTGTATACCTAGGTTTCTTTCTCTATTTGTTCTTCTGATTACAGCAGTCCCTTTAGATTTCTTGTAATGCTGGCTTGGTGGTGATGTACTCCTTTAGCCTTTTCTTTCTTTCTTTCTTTCTTTCTTTCTTTCTTTCTTTCTTTCTTTCTTTCTTTCTTTCTTTTTGGTCCAGGATGCTCTTTATTTCACTGTCTATTTTGAATGATAGCCTTGTTGGATATAATAATCTTGGTTTCAGATCCTTGCTTTCCATTACTTTGAGTACTTCATGCCATTCCCTTCTTGCCTGTAGAGTTTCTGATGAGAAATCAGGTGTCAGCCTATGGGAGTTCCTTTGTAGGTAACAGTTTCCTTTTCTCTTGATGCCTTAAAGATTCTCTCTTTGTCTTTAATTTTTGGCATTTAAATTATGTTCTGGGCATAGGTCTGTTTTGGTTCTTCTTGCTTGGGACTCTCTGTGCCTCCTGAACTTGACTGACTTTTTTCTTTACCAGGTTAGGGAAGTTTTCTGCCATTATTTCTTCAAACACCTTCTTTATTCCTTTTTCCCTTTATGCCTCTTCTGACACACCTGCTATTTGAATATTGTTAAGTTTCATGTTTTCCCACAGCTCCCTTAAGCTTTCCTCCTGTGTTTTAATTGTTTTTTTTTATTTTTTTTTATTTTTGGTTTTCTGATTGAGTGATGTTTTCAACCTTGTCTTCTAATTCACTGATTCAATCTTCAGGTTCCCCTAATCTGCTGTATATTCCTTCCAATGTGTTCTTTATTTGTGCTACGTCATTCTTTATTTCTATTTTTATAGTTACTATATCTTTTCTAATGCTGTTGAACATCTTTATCATCATTATTTTGAACTCTATATAATATAAATTTCTTATCTCCATTTCACTTATCTCTTCTTCTGGAGAAATCTCTTGTTCTTTAGTTTGGGGGTTGTTTCTTTGTCTCTTCATTTCAGCTGCCTGTTTTGATTTGTGACTATTTTTTAGGTAGATCTGCTGTGTATGCCTCTCAATCTCTAGTGTAGGACAGTGTCAAATGCTGTTTCTGACTAATTAGATCAGGCAAAGACTCAAAGCCTCCAGAGACTGCCTCTGCCTACAGACTGATAGGATTCTGTTTTGAATTGCCCTCAGGCAATCATCCACAGATGTGGAAAGAGTTTTTTTTTAACAGGGTGGGGCAATTGTTTCTGCCTGGAGGCTAATTGCTATTCTCAATCTCTTAATAGGCCTCAGAAACTCCACACCGAAGGGCAAGGTTTTTTCTAATAGGATGGGTCAACTGTCTCCCCCTGCCAGGCAAAGTTGCCTGTATAGCAAATGTCTGCCTGAGAAACGTGATCTCCACAGTGTGAAGGAATGATTCAGCAAAGGAAACTGGGATGTCTGCCTTCTGAGCTCTAATCCCAGAGCCCCTGATCCTGGCTTCTGCTCACACAGCTCCATTCCATTCTGCCCTCCCTCTGCCAGAGCACAAGCTAAGTGGCTCCACACAGAATTTTGTGCATTGGCCCTTCAACAGGGTGCCTAAATTTCCAGCTGTCTCCCTGGCCAACAGCAACCCTGATGCTTTACACACCAGATGTTATGTGGGTACCCTTCTTAGTTCTGGTGCTCCCTGCTGGGAGGGCCCCACCTGGGGATTAGACCCCAGAGTTTTTAGTGGCAATCCCCCACAATTGAGATATTTCTCCAGTAATTCAGCTGCTGTCTGTGGGAGTTAGGCCAGCCATTTCATGCCTCCGCCCCTCCTTCCAGTCTCTATGTGGTCTTCTTTTTCTGTCCTCAGTTATCAGGGTTCTCTCCAGTGAGCCTTTCTTGGATTATTCAGGAAGTTTTTCTATATTTTAGTTGTAATTCCAATTTGGTCCTGGGAGCATGTTTGTGCAGCATCCACTTACTCTACTACCATTTTTAATCCCCCCTCAACTCCAAACTTTTAGAATTGGTTCTTTTCTATATCCATATTTTCTACTCTTATTTCTACCTTCTTTTGTTTTGTAATTCTATTTTGTCATATACCTTCATTTATTTCCTGAAGTACCCTAAATAGAGGGATTTGTCTATGCTCATTTTTTTTCTGATTGCTTTTCTATTTCCTTTCTTAGCATTAATTTTCTCCACATGATTTCGAATTTTGTTTTGCTAGTTCACCTTGTTTCATTGATTTTTTCCCCCCTCTTTTTCTCTCTTGCTTTTCCTCACATCCTCATCCTTCCTGGTTCAACAATTTTGCAGCTGCAAAACTAGTCTGGGTTCTAACTACAGAATCAGACATTGTAATGGTCATTTGGAACCTTGGGACCTTGGGGAAGAGAGTCCCACAGATGGAGTGACACAACTGGTGAGTAGATGGTCCACTTTCTACTTTTGAGACTGTGCCTCTATTCTTTACCTGCCTGGGTTTCCAACTGCTAAAATCTGTAGCCCCCAGGAAGCAGTTGATAACAATTATTTATAACACTCTTTGAGAACATAGAGAGCCCCACCTCAGCCCCTGGCTCTGTTCTCCTTCTCATGTAATTATTTTGTATTTTACCTGTAGGAACTTAACTCCCAGCTACCATTGCCTGCTGGTCAACCTGGACTCCATCCCACCCATAGCTTTTATCCTGCTTACCACTTTTTATCTGTGTTTATTTATGTCTATGAATGTGTTTAATAGTACTTAGCTTAGCTATTGCAATTTCCTCTTTTAATATTAAAAGTTATTTGTGTCTGAGACAGATGAGAAAAGTGTTAAAGATCTACCTACCTATACTAGCTTGACCACAGTCCAACTTTACTTCCAACTACCTGCCAAAATAAGGTTTCTGGTTCAGTTAGGAAGCTAAGTGCCTTTGCCCATACTGTATCCTATACAGTGGGGCCTTGACTTACGAGTGTCCCGACTAACGAGTTTTTCGAGATACGAGCCATCTCTCTGCCGCTTTTTTGCTTTGAGTTGCGAGCTAAAATTCGGGTTACGAGCCAGCTTCAGATACACCACCACTAGTTGGTGCAGCGAACGTCACAATGAACGCCACAACATCAGCCCAGCACCATGTGTCTCACTCGTTCACTTTTTGATTTGACATATGATTAATTTGAGTTACGAGCTCCGTCATGGAACGAATTAAACTCATAAGTCAAGGCCCCACTGTATTAGAAAGTCCTCTTTTTGCCTTTAGTCCTTAAGCCTTAGCCCAACTCTGTCCTCCCTGGCAAAGGCTTCACCAAATTATCAAACCTTCAATTATTTGGTTCTCCTTTGAATTGACCAAGTACTGTGGATCCCCAGCAAATGGAAATTTAATATTCATTGTTTAGTCATTCTATGAACTATTTAGGATATCTACAGTTTACAGGAACTTGTGATTTGGTTGAAGCATTACTAAACTAGCTAGTAAAACTAAATGAGCCCTAATAATGATTTTTATTGTGCTTTCTTTATCACTTAGTTACCACCAAAATGTGACCAAAGATTTTCTTTCTTTTACATATAAATAAGTTCATAAGTATTGCTATTACATTTCTATACACATAATATAGTATTCTATTTTAGTTGTAAGATTAATTCTAATAATGTCATATAGTTTTTAGTTCTGCACTTATATAGCTTTTTTAAATCTTCATCTGAGGATATGTTTCTGTTGATTTTTAGAGAGAGAGGAAAGGAAAGAGAAGGGGAGAGAGAGAGAGAGAGAGAGAGAGAGAGAGAAGAGATAAACACTGATCGGTTGCCTCCTGTACGCACCTCGATGTGGATCAAAACCTAGGTATGTGCCCTGACTGGGAATGGAACACTCAACATTTTGGAAAACAGAACGATGCTCCAATCAACTGAGCCAACCAGCCAGGGCTGTACTTATATAGTTTTAAGTTTCAAATAAGAATGCTGTATTTTTTCAGTTATAATTTATTGAACTATAGAATCTGGAGGAAATATATTTGATAAATCTTCATGTTCAAAACATCAATGTTGAGACTACTCATAAAATGATCATTCAATACCCATAGCTTAGCTTCTAATTTTACTTAATAGTTTCACTCACATTTCAGTTCTTTTAGATGGATGATAAACTCCTTGGTGGCAGAGAATATTCTGCAGGGCATTGAAGACAGGGACCCAGCTCCATGTATCCATGCAGACCAAGCACAGGGTTTGGCCCACAGAAAAGCTAAATAAATCTTTTGTTTGTTTGTTTTGCTCCAGTGCTCAATAAATTCATTTTTTATTTTCTTCAATCTTATCTATAGTAGATGATGTGCAGCAATAGGGCACTAATGCCTGTTATTTGTGGATGGCTATAAACTAAAAGCAGCAGTTAAATCTTAGGACACAGAGACCAAGATGATATTATGAACCAATAGTCCTTCAAGGCCGGGGTTTTGTCTTCTACTTATTTTTATATCTCCCTAGTGTCTAATATGGTAATGCATACTGACTTAGGTGCTCAACAAATTCTGATTGCATCAGTGCCATTTTCAGAGACAATTATATCGTGAATTTGAGAACTGAAATAGCTCCTTGAAGAAGCCAGCCTCAAATGGGCTTGGGAGAACCCTGGCAACAGCATAGGGTGATAGTTTATTATTAGGTGTTGGACTTTGAGATGCACTACTTCTTGCCAGTTGAAATAGCTGTGTGACAAGCCCACTTCTAGTGTTAAAGTTAAATTCCCCATCTCTAAGTGCCTCCTTCCCCAGGTTCCCTAAGCCTGATGGTCTGGCAGCCTAATGCAAAACAATGGTAAGGCTTAGTCTTTGTCTTATTTGTGATTAGGTGGGTTTTTTTGTTTGTTTGTTTGTTTTTGGTTATTTTTTAACATTAGCATTTTATTTGCCTTTCTGAACTTTGATGTTGGACACATACTTTATTTATCTGAATTTTAAAATGCTATCATCCTTTGTGAGAAGAGAGTGCTTTTGTTTTTGTTTTTGTTTGTTTGTTTTGTTCTCCTTGGAGAACTATTCCTTGTTTTATTAGTAATTCATGTGCCAGAGAAAAATTTGAATGAGATCTGTTCTGATTGTCTGAAGGACACATGCAGATTGGAATTCATCCTTCAGAACTTGTCTGCCCTACCTACACCTTGATTTTGGCCCAGTGAAAGTGGGCTCTAATTTCCAGAATTGTAAGAGAAAAAAACTGTGCTGTTTTAGGTCACTGAGTCTATGGCAACCTCTTATGGCAGCAATAGGAAACTAATTTCACATGCCATGTACTATAAATATCCACCCATTTATAAAATGTCACAGAACATTAGAAGCCCTCATTTAAGTAGGGTTTTAATGGACATGTAGTCCAGCAGCCCAAGGGATGTTTGAATCTCCGTTGCAATGCTCATGGCAGTGATCACTGCATGGAGAGGGAACTCTACCTGGAACATGGTCCATTTCTCCTCAGACAGCTCCACTCAGGGGGCATAAAACATGGTACAAAATAGTTCTTCCCAAGAGAACCTTGATACAATGGAAAGAGAAAGTTAGACAGATATGTCCGAATCTTGAATGCACTTGAGGCTCCTCAGCTGCACATTGAGGATAAAAACATGTACCTTACAGTGTTGTTGAGAGGATTAGAAATCCCAGCCTAATATCTGGCATTGATTAATTACTCACCAAAAAATGGTAGCATAATTTCTTTGTGAACAGATCAATTTTTTTCTAAAACCTTACCCAATTGGACAATCTATACCTCATGGCCATGTAGTAAAAGTCTAATACCTCCCCTGATATGAAAAACCTTCCAATATTTAAAAATAACAGTATTACCTGTGAGACTCCACCTATCCAGCAAAGCCTTCCCAGATTCCTCAGCTGTAGCTCATATGATGGTTTAAAGTTTCTTCACTATTTTACAACCTCAAACTATCCCAGCCTTAGTGTAGAAATAAGACATATGGATGAGGACAGGATTTGTTTGAGGGGTTCATAACCCCGTGAATGGGGAGATCAAGATAGAGAGTCTATGCATGAACTAATGATGGTAGATGATCAAAAACTCATGATTGGTTGCATGCCCTTAGTTCAGAGTTGAGCATTTGTAGAGGGTGCAGCGTGGAGAGGAAAGCAAAGGAAACTGGGATAATATGAATGAGTCTGGGTGGATGGGGCAGGAGAGATAGGGTGGTCAGAGAAGGCCTTTTTGAAGAGGTAATATGTAAGCTGAAATATGAGTAATGAGCAGAAACACATCAGCCAGTCAGTGACCTTAGGAATGGGAAGATAGCTGAGTCACTGAGACAGGAAGAGATAGGTATGCTAACGTATGAGAAATATAAGAGCAAGTCATGGTGGCTAGTGGGTGGGGAAAGGGCATTTGAGAGATTAGTGAGCTCAAAGGAATCATAAGGGTCTTGAAAGACCATTGGGAGGGTTTTGGAATCTTATTTTTTTTTAATCCTCACCCAAGGTTATGTTTTTTATTGATTTGAGAGAGAGAGAAACATTGTTTTGAGAGAGAAATATCAAACAATTGCCTCCCAAACACACCCTGATCAGGGATCCAACCACCAACCTTTTGGTGTATAGTACTACACTCCAACCAACTGAGCCACCCAGCCAGGGCTGCAATCTGTTTTAAATAAAAGGAAAAGTAATAGGAGAACATTAAGCAGGTATTTACATAATTTGGTTTACATCTTTAAAAGCTCACTTCAGATTTTAGGGAAAAATGCTGTGGTACATTTACACAATAGAATACTACTCAGACGTAAAGAAAAAAATTATGTGACTCAAGAAAGTAAAGAAGCGACCTGGAGAGTATTACACTAAGTGAAATATGCCAGTCAGAGAAAGACTAATATCACATGATCCCACTCATATGTGGAATCTAATGAACAAAATAAGCTGATGAAAAAATAGATTCAGAGACATGGAAGCATGGAACACACTGATGAATCTCAGAGGGAGGGGATAAAGGGAAATGGGAAGAGATCAACCAAAGAACTTATATGCATACATGTATTGAAGCATAGTAACTTCCATCTTGTATAAAACTGCTGTTTGAAACTCTCTGCTATTGTTAGATAGTCCCTAGTTATGTAAACTCTGTCATTATAAACTCTGTCACTTTAAGACAGTCTGTTATTCTGTAAAATGACTTTGTTTTTAGTTCAAATAATAGAAAAAGATAAACTTAACTGTCTGACCTTGCAAGCTAGCCATCCAATGTAATAGACTAAAATAGACTAATACTGATAACAATTCCCATATTCTTATGCCAAGTACAAACTCATTATGTATTCAAGGTTACAACTGTCTGTAACAATAACTCACACAGAGCCCTTTGTAATATCTGCAAACAAAGAGGCTCGAAAAGTATAAATACGGGAGACTTCCTGTATGTGGTGCTCAGAGATTTGGAAGAGACACCTCTCTCTGGGCTGCGTGCAATAAACGACTCCTAATTAATTGGCTCATTAAGGCATCTTGTATCTCATTCGCTGATTTACGATATAAAAGTATAACCCATGGACAAAGAGAATAGTGCAGTAGACCTGGGGGTGGCAGTATGGAGGTGGTCAATGGGAAAAAAGAGAGACATTTGTGATATTTTCAACAATAAAGATAAATTTTTTAAAAAGAAATTTATACCCAGGAAAATTGTTCTTCAAGTTTAAAGGCAAGAGAGACACATCTTCAAGGATGCAAGATTTAGAGTATATACCTTTCATAAGCCCTTCTTGAAAAATCTATGGAAACTTATATATTTTATTTACCAATATCAACCCAATACATTTAATAAATTTTTTAATCTATAGAAAGATGGAATCTAACTAGGAAAGAGATGTGCCAAACAGGCAATCAGGGAATAAAGAAACTGTATTAAAAACAAACAAACCAAAACAACATAAATGCCAAAACATTTTAAGTGTTAGTATTAGGTTTATTTAAATACAGAACTATATCTGGGTAACTATGGGAATTATGGATGTAGGCCAGAATGTAAATATCATAATAGTACCTCACAAAAAGGAGAGAAAGGAGGGAAGAAGTATGCTAATTTATAGAGTAGAAAATCAATGATAATAAATGTGGCTTCAACTTATGGATCACTTTTAGAATATGTTTATTTTAAGGTAACATTATGTAGAACATTTAAGAACTAATATCTCTTTTGGTGAAAAAAAATGTTATCTGAAGTTCACCAATTTCTCCAGTTTTATTTCAATTTGTTTTTCCTCTATTAAATTTTAGTCACCTTGATGCTATTTGTATATACAATTACCCCTTTTCTGTTTGTATTATAAAAATATGTATACATGTGTACGTGTATATATCTGTCTATCATTTATTTCTATACACACTTATTTTGATGGCATTAATAAAGTTAGTTCTGGGCTGTAAGTAGATTGGGGGTGACTTTTTTCCCTCTTATTCCCTATTTATAATTTCTCAAATTTTAAAGTAACCATGTTCCACTTCTACAAAAACAAATTATGTTAATATTCTAAAAATTACAGTAAATTAAAAGGAGGGGAAGAAGAGAAATTTCTAGTTTATTTTGCTTTGTAAGTGAAAGTGATATATTACATGTCAATTTTAGGACTATGCCTTTCACTTGGTAGATGTTTAATGGAAGTTAGCAGTGATTGTAAAGATTATTTCCCAGACTTTCCAAGTGGAGAGTCTGCTGCCTCTTTCAACTTCATTGCCATTTACTCTAAAGCAGTGGTTCTCAACCTTCTGGCCCTTTAAATACAGTTCCTCATGTTGTGACCCAACCATAAAATTATTTTCGTTGCTACTTCATAACTGTAATGTTGCTACTGTTATGAATCGTAATGTAAATATCTGATATGCAGGATGGTCTTAGGCGACCCCTGTGAAAGGGTTGTTCAACCGCCAAAGGGATCGCGACCCACAGGTTGAGAACCGCTGCTCTAAAGGATCCTTGGGAAAAAAATTTGCCCATCTACTAATGGAACTGTGTTATAAAGAAGGGATGGGGAGGAAGAGAAATTATACCATCTTCATTATCCCTTAACTTTTTGGAAAGGAGAGGAACAAAACAAAACAAAAAGCAAGCATAAACCAAACCAGACAGAATACTTAATTTCAAAGTATCACAATGGTTGAAAATATGCATCTTTACTATGATCTTTATAGGTTCTGTTTAAGCCTTCAAAATAAGTTATCCAGACCTTGTTTTTTATAACCTTGTATAAGTCTGCTAGGGCTACCAAACAAAATATCATTGACTGGGAGGCTTAACCAACAGGAACATATTTGCTCACAGTTCTGGAGGCTGGAATTCTGGGATCAGGGTGCCAGCATGGTTGGTTTCAGGTGAGATCCCTCTTCTTGGCCTGCAGATGGCTGCCCTCTCTCTGCATGCTCAAAGGCCTTTCCTCAGAGCATGCACAAGGGGAGAGTAAAAGCTTTGGTGTCTCTTCTTTTAAGGACATAAATTCTACCAGATCAGGGCTTAATTTATCCTTAATTATGTCTATAAAAATTCTATACAGTCAAATTAGGGGTAGGGTTTCAATACATGAATTTTCAGGGGACAAAATTCAGTCTACAGCAACCCCCAACATTTTTAAAAGTTGTATTTGTTTGTTTTGTTTTTATATCTAACACTCACAAATACTAGCTTAATTAAAAAATTTTTTTTAATTGAAAATAGGAGTAAGACTCTTGAATCTATACTATTGACAGAAACCTTAAAACATTTGTCATATATTTTCTCCCTTGTCTATACCAGTGGTAGGCAAACTCATTAGTCTACAGAGCCAAATATCAACAGTACAATGATTGAAATTTCTTTTGAGAGCCAAATTTTTTAAACTTAAACTATATAGGTAGGTAC